TCTGATCTAACTACTCCTGATACTAGGCTGCTTGACAAAGCAGTTATGCCTTCTCTTAATCCTAGATTTGTCTTCTGTGTTACAGCCAACAGAAAAGCAGTTAATATGGAATTTAACAGCTTGGGCTCTGGAACCAGGCAGACCTGGATACAAATCTTGGTTCTGCCACTTAATAGCTATGTGATCTTGGTCAAGTTGTTTGCCCTTCTTGAGTCTCAATTTCCTCGTCTGTAAAATGGGGATGATAATAGCACTGACCTCGTAGGGTTGTGATGGAGAGTAAATAAAATAATACATGTAAAACATATACATAGTGCAATGCCTAGCTTATGTTGTGTTGAGTATGTCAATTTTTTATTATAATTACAAAGTGGAATAGTAGATATTTCCAGGAATATGAGGATAGTTATAGCTGTTTGTCTTACCTACTTCACCAGGATCTATCTAATTAGCCAGCTGAGTGGTTAAAGCTCTGAGTGCTTTAATCTCAGTAACTATGTTCATTGGTTAGCTCCATGGTCAAGTATCTGATACCCACCCCCAACCCCTAATCTAATGATTAAGAGTCAACAGCCTCATTTTTAGCAGAAATGCAATACTCTGTGATTTTTTTTTTTTCTGAGGAAGATTTGCCCTAAGCTAAAATCTGTTGCCAGTCTTCCTCAGTTTGTATGTGGGTTGCTGCCACAGCATGGCTGCCAATGAGTGGTGTAGGCCCACACCTGGGAACCAAACCGAGCCCACTGAAGTAGAGTGCACTGAATTTAACCACTAGGCCATGGGGCTGGTCCCTGGTATCCTGTGAATCTTGAGGGGCAAACCAGAACAGTATGTTTGCAGTTTGAAAGACGCTGAAATGTATCTGTAGATAGACCATATCTATTTTAAAGATTTTATTTTTTTCCTTTTTCTCCCCAAAGCCCCCCGGTACATAGTTGTATATTCTTCATTGTGGGTCCTTCTAGTTGTGGCATGTGGGACGCTGCCTCAGCGTGGTTTGATGAGCAGTCCCATATCCGCGCCCAGGATTCGAACCAACAAAACACTGGGCTGCCTGCAGCAGAGCGTGCGAACTTAACCACTTGGCCACAGGGCCAGCCCCTAGACCATATCTATTTTAGTCACCATTTCATCCATGGCACCAGAGCAAGGGACTTCTCATATAGAAGACATTCAATAAATATTTGTTCATTGAGTAACTGAATTCTGTTACAATAGTAAAATGTGTTTAGAGAAAGAATCAATTTTGCTGAGTATTTTTAAGTTAGATTATATTTTCAAGACTTTCCTCCTTAATTTTTTATCAGAGTGACTGTTCTGGAACTAGTTTCTAGGACTGGAAACTTGTCTGCCTCATTTACTAGTTGTATAAGCACAGGCAAGTTATCGCACCTCTCAACATCTCAGTTTCCTCATTTATAAAATGGGCGTAATAACAGGGTAAGAGTGGTGAGGAAGTGAGTTAATAGAAGTGCCTAGAACTGTGCCCAACAATATGTTCCAAAAATCTTAGCAGTGTTCTTATTATCATTACTATGACTACTATAGCTGCTGCTGCTCCTCAAGGTGCCCTCAATATGATGGGCGCAATTTTCTTACTGTACCTTTCCCTAAACTAAAGTTCAATTCAAACCTCTTTAATTTAAAAACATGAATAGTGAACTTTGTCTTGCATGTAATATAACTCTAAGTTTTCAAGATTCTATTCTGTAGAGTAGACTAAATGTTGTGAAATTTTATTCTTCCGTTTTCATTTTTGGAGGCACAGGTAAAGATGGATTTATTTTAACTGAATGTGAAAATAATAATCGTCAATATGGATGCAGCATTTTCTTGCCGCTCATTCTGTCCTCATCTTTTTCCAGTTTCAAGTATCATTTGCCTGGACCTAATGATGTTGAGTATGGGTATTGCAGAGGAGCGATAGCTTCCCTTCAGGATTGGAGCCGAAGCTTCAAAGAGAAGATTAAAGAAGTGCTTGTTATCTGTCTGCACAGGCCCGATATGAAATTCTCAGAGGCTTTTAGGATAAACACAACTCTCTGTGTGTGTTTGTATGGTTTTTCTTCTATATACTTCTATTGTGGTCTTTATATTTGGGTTTAAAATTTCCAGTTTCAGACTTGTTGGAGTCTCTGGCTAAGGGATAATTGTTTTCAGAGTGAAGGATAAGAATTAGAAGACGTTGGCAGGATTTGACTAAATGCCTCCTAAAGAGTGTAGAATTCTCTAGTGTGGAATCATCTTTCCAGAGGATATGATGAAGGGCATCCATAGGATATGTTTAACAAGACAAGATCAAGACCTTAATGTGTCCAGCAGAGAATAATCCATAGCACCTTCTAGTGAGGGATGAGACTGTTCACCTTTGGGCCTCTCCTTTTAGAAGAGTCCTCTGTGAGCTGTGGGATAGAGGGAATGTGTGTGTGTCTGTGTGTTTTAACAGACTTTCTTTAGAGTTGTTACGTAATTAATACCTAGAATGAGAAGAGAGGGAAAAGGGATAGGGTAGCAGGATGGTTTTATACCTTCTGAGAAAGAAGGGCACTAACATTCCACTTCCTGCCATTCCATGGCAAGTTCTACATATGATTTTTATTGACCAGAATATTTGATTACAGTATCACCGAGAATAAAGCAGATTTTGCTGTTTAACATCAACCAGGTGGACCTGCTATTTTATTTGCTACTGTTAAATTGAATTCTTTCTCTGTAATCAGCGTTCTTAAGATACAGCTACTATTGGCAGAAGCAGTACTCTTGGTACATATGTATATGAACTTATAAGATCTTAACTAACAAGGGAAACCAGGACCCAGGGGCATTTTATGATAGGTAGAGAAGGGAACTGAAAAAAAGTGCGTGTGATTTGGAGTGAGGATTGTGGGGAGAAAGGACAAAAGAAGAAGCTGAGATCATCAATAACATATTTTACCTATTTAACAATTTGCCAAGAGTTGGCCTTTTAACTGCCACTGCTTGGCCAGGTTTTTTCTGGGTCAGTAAATGAGAACAACGTTGGTTAGCAAAGTTCCTGCTGTTGCCTTCATTAATGTTTTGGAAAGAGGAATGCAAACACATACACATACACACTTGCACACGCTCACACCCTAATTTCTATTTATGTTGAATTAGAGGTTGGGTAACGATTGGAATCGAGGACTAAGGCATTGCCTCAAGAGAAGATGGAAAATTGCTCACCCCTTTGACAATTTGCTTGATTAGCTGTGTTTTACAGAAAACTCTTCATAGTGACCAGGTACAATGGGAAGCTGCACTGTCTGCTAGGTGGAGACTTACCTATCGTGCTAATATGTACGACTCATTTTTACAGCCTGTTCCATATGTCCTTGCATTGACATGGATGCTCTTCTCCCCAGCTGTTACAGCTTTACATACTGCTTCCTCCTCTTATTCCCTCTCTCCTCTTACACTACAGATGTCAAAGCTGCCTCAACTTTCCTTGCCTTCTAACCCAAGTATTTTACGTTCCCTTCACCTGATTGCCAGCCCAGAACTGTTCTGGCAAAGGAAAGGCACAAGAAAAGTGAGGTTTCTTCTCCACCTTCTCTTCCTCATCTCTGATAATTTCCCACCAATTCATCTCTGATTATGGCAACATACTCACCACTGATCTCCTTATTCTCCATTTTCTGAATTTTTATCTTATGAAGAAGTACCTAGATGCTCACTGGACTGGTGTTCCTCCGTAAAGAAGCCACACCTTATTTCAGTCATCTGTCTACTGGAAGACACCGTGATCACCTATATGTTGCCTTTTTCTTAATCTTTTTTGGGTTATGGATCCTTTTAAGCATTTGATAAAAACTATGGACTCTCTCCCCAGAAAAAAAGATGTTCATATGCACATACACTCTCCTGAGAGGTCAAGATGAGGAAAGCAAAAGATTCATTTTATTGAGTGGCATGGAGGTCACTATGTCCATAGCAAGAATTAGTGTGTGGTTACCGTAACCAAGATTGGAGTGTGTCAAAGATGAGTGGGAGGTGAGGAACTAAAGAGAGAAACTGTAGACAACGCTTTTGAAAATTTCACTGTGATGTGAAGGGAAAGAGGCCAGCAGATGGAGGGATGTGTAGGCAGCGAGGGAGGGTTTGATTTCTTTATATGAGCATAAATGCTGATGCAAGGAGCCAAGTTGAGAGGAAGAGGTTGAATATATACAAGAGAAAATCGATATGGAATATTGTAAGGTTCCTGTGAATGCAGGAGGAAATGGAATCCAAAGGACAATAGACTTTTGTGGGTAGCCACCATATATAACATTGTTTCTGGGGGGGGGGGGGGGGGCGGGAAATGCAATTTAGATTCCAAATAAGTGACTTACAAATGATCCTTTCCACCAGTGCCATTTCATTAGTTTTAAGACTTAAAGAGTTGTCGGTTTTGCCAATCATTTCCTAAAATAAAAGAGGAGATGGAATGTCACAGTGGACTGCAAAAGTCCCAGTCTTGGCTCAGACATTAAAATGTTAGATGACCTTGAGTCAGTTGTTCATGCTTCATCTGTAAAGTTAAGAATTTAGGCCTAGAAGTATTTGAGGATGTGTTGGAGGGGGTGAGGTTTTGGTTGTCATAACAACTGGTGGTGCCACTGCTATTTGGTGCCCAGGACCAGTGATGCTGATTGTCCTGTGATATACAGGACAGGTTGTCACAACAAAGAATTGTCCTGTTCAAAGCCTGTAGAGGTCCTGATGAGAAGCCTGCACCATGGCTAGGTAACCTCTTAGGATCTTTCCAGCAACATGGTCAAAGTTGTCTAAGGAGTTATAGTAAGTTAAATGCCGCTTTCAAGCCTTTGAGAATCTTTCAAATCTCAGGGACAACACTTTGTTTTTCCTCAAAGTGGGGAGTGGCTTTGACTGGTTGTTGACTTTTAGCCAGCTTTTCTCACTGGGTGCCATAGCTACCATATGCCAACTAAGATTGAGAAATGTAAGTTTGACCTATCTCTTTTCTTTTCCTTGAATTTCAGGTACCACTGGGACTTTCAGCTCCAAGGTGAGTACTCGGACAGTTTATGGTTTTACATTAAAAATATGTAGGGGGTATTGTTTACTTCTGTCTCTTTGCAATAAGCTTCTCTGCAGAGTGGCATTAGCCATTTCTGGGGAAAGTTAGTGGAGTGTTTAATTAACCTTCACCCTGCTGGGCCCCCCTCCTCTGCTTTTTAGCAACAAGAGGCTCTGATGCTTCTGCTTTCTGAGTGGGTTGGTGCTAGATTATTTTATAAAACCAAAGCTGTAATATGCTTTTATTCCTTGAGCTTTGTTAGATGCCAACAGAATCCACTAGCATTAAATAAAATGGTGGCTGAGTCCATAATAAAAACCTTGGGAGAGCTCCAATTCAGCTAATCCTTCAGTGGCTCCAGAAATAAATTCCAGTATGTTACCTCCTCGATCACAGTGCTCTTCCGCACAGCCTGTCTGTCTGGCAGCAGAGAAATGTCAGAAATGGAGCCGTGTTGAAATTCCCACTAGAACAGTGTTATCACATTTTAATATGAGCCTCTCTGCAGCCTTGGTGCTCCTAATTGCTTTCAAACCATTGTTTTCCTGCTTTTGCTTGATGAACCCAGCATCTGGCATGGTTCTAAAGAGTACAACAGACAGCTGTGTGCAAAATTAAAAAAAAAAAAAAGGATTAGAACACATTTTAAAAAGGCTCAAAATTGGAATATTTTTCTGAATTTAAACAGTTTGAAGGGTGTCTTTAAAGTACATGCCTCCTTTCTTTTTAGTGCTGTGGTTGAGAATGTCGGAGACATCATTCTGAATATTAATTATCTTATTATAAATGGGGGATTTTTATTTTCTCAGAGATTTTTAAACTTGCAGCTAGCTATTTGAACTATTTTGCTCTATAACTTTTTAAACTATTTGTACACTTTTCCAATACTTTTTATTCTTAATGTTGTCAATATATCCAATCTCAATGGGCAGTAATACCTTAAAGAAATTCAAATTGTGAGTGATGATACTAATTTTATTAAAATGCTAGTTTTCCTAGCTTATGCTTTGTTTTAGTGTATTTCAAGTGTATATAAGGTTTTCTTTAAAAACCAACTTTAAGAAATAGAAATCTTATGTTTTTAAAGCTTTTCAACTCTTGTAAGTTAGTCGTATTATTTATAATACTTTAAATAATATGATGTGATTTTACTGTATATCTCACTGTCCTAAAGCATTTATGGCTGAAAATATATTTTGAGAATAAAGAATTGTATGTAATATTGTAGTATTTGCTTTGCAAAATGTGAAATATGCTATTCATGGAATGGCCCGATAGTTCAGGGTTTAACAGATGTTAACCAAAATCCACAGGGGGCCAAACATGAATGTGAACTGGCAGAAATGAATGGAACTGTGAGGGTTGAATTAATTACCTAAAGGAGAAATAAAGAATTAGTGTCAGAAATGTGGTGTAGTAATGTGTTGAGAAGAGAATATAATTTTGGAGCTTAACGCAAGAGACTATATGGGAGTAAGAGGACAAAGGCACGTCTTACCAGATTGTTGTCCTATGGCCTTGCAGTCACCTTCCAGCATAGGGTCACTTCTACACAGCCTGTCTCTCTGAGAGAGAGGGCAGAAGTGGGGCAGCCAAGGGGACAATTGAAAAGAGTTTATTTAGAACAGAAATCTGTATTTGCTTCTTGACAATGGGTGCATATATGTAGTAAAGTTTTTGCTCATTTGGAAGTAAATGTGAGGAAAGATGAAGTAGAAAAACCCATGCTTGCATGTCTTTCCCCCAGCCTTGCTCCTCCCCCCAAGACATTTTTTTGAGGAAGAAGAAGGAGTATCTTTTACTTTCCCCTTTGGATCAGATCTTGGTTGTGTGCTTCAGAAACTGGTAGAGTGGTTGGGAGCAGTAACAGGTCTATATAAGGTTCTACAGGACCATTTAGGATTAGGAAAAGAATAGGAACATGTAAGAAAGAGAACAACTGGCAGAAGAATTTAAAAAGCCCTGGAAGATGAGGTAGTATTGGGAAGGGAGTGAGAAAGGAAAGAAACGAGAGCCCCGAACTTCCTAGCATTTTTATCTACGGCAGGATCCTCTGTGCAGGAAGCTGATGGGATGAATTTTATTAACTGTGCATTTTCCTAAATACGCACTTGGGCTCTTCAGGATATTTGAACTACATTAGAGTCTGGTGACTGGAAGGAAAGTAGCCTTGAATTATAAAAAATCCCTTATTTCTAAATCCATTTCGCAGCACACATTTACACGTCTGGTTATGGTGAAGTCTGTGATGAGTCGGTACAGTGTTCTGGAAGGGCAACCTTTAGAGAAAGATGCTCGGGAGAACGGACTGCCCAGGCGTAGAGAAAGATCGTAAGCAAAGTTTTTGTATCCGTCCTTCCATTCAGTCCCAGGTTTAACATGGTGGAGGAGTGACCATTGAATAGTATTAGGGAGAGTCATGTCCCTGTTCTGGAGAAGAAACGTGGCTTGGTAGAAAGAGCATGGATGTTGAGGCTTGACAGACTTGGGTTCAAATCCCACCTATACCATTTAGCTAAAGATCCTGTTACTTAGCAAGTTACTTAATTTCTCCAACGTCGGCTTCCTTATCTATGCAATGGACATGTGCCACATGCTGTGCTGAGGCCTTTGCGTGCATTATCTTATTAAACCCTCAGAGAAGCCTATGAAATAGGTACTGTTAATACACCCATCTGACAGATTTGGGTACCGAGGCACAGAGCGCTTAAGATAATTGTTCAAGGTCGTGCTCCTCAAGGATTCTAACTTGGTCAGTCTGACTCCATAGCATACATTTTTTTTATAACAGCTTTATTGTTATATAATTCACATATCATAAAATTCACCCTTTTAAAGTATACAAGTCAGTGGTTTTTAGTATAGTCACTGAGTAGTGTGACTGCACCACTTTCTAATTTCAGCACATTTTTAGCACCCTAACAAGAAACCCCATACACATAGTAGTTCCAGAGCCCATGCTCTTCATGTCTGTGTTTTATTGTCTCATTGCAGGGTTATTATCATGACTAGTACTCATATGGGTAAGCCCCAGCATGGTATCTAGACAAAGTAAATAGTAAAAATGTGGTTTAATTTTATGACAGTGTTAATGGTAATTCTTTCCCTCACATTTCCACCCAAATTTTCTTATTGATCCACTGTCAACTTCCTGAAGGTTGTTCATTAAAAAAAGAATGAAATGGGGAAAATAAAACATAATCCAAATAATTTATTGCTTTAATGTAGAAGGGACATAAATAAAAGGGCTCTTTTAATGAGCTCAAATATTACTGGAGAACATGGGAAAGCCTTTTTATTTTCAGTTTTTAATAAAACATGGATTCCTTTGATAATTCAAGTCCTGCTTACTTTAAGAACTTTTTTCTACTTAATTTTTCACTCAAAGTTACAAAGAAAATTCATTGGAATCTTTGTCAGTAATCAGATATCTAGAAGATGGTATTGATCAGATGTCTAAACAACAATATTAGTAATGCCACATTACTGTATGGCATTGAGTGAACTGATTTCCTTCATTTTGTTTAGTTCCTCCCCCAACTCTTTTGTTTTTGCTGAGGTAGATTTGCCCTGAGCTAACATCCGTTGCCAATTTTCCTCTTTTTGTCTGTGAGCTGCCACCACAGCATGGCCACTGACAGATGAGTGGTATAGGTCCATGCCTGGAAACTGGTCCCGGGCCACCAAAGCAGAGCATGCCAAACTTAAGCTCTGGGCCCCTGAGGCTGGCCCTAGTTTCCCCTTTTATGAAATGAGCTCATTATTGACAGTTATAGTTTAATCAAAATTTTAATTATAAAGTATAATGTTCATAATTCAAAATTTATTGCTATAAAAGCATTTTATGAATATTACAAAAATTGTTTACCATGGACCCAGAGTCTAAAACAAATGACACAATATTTAAATAAAAATTTAAGAAAGACTATGGGGATATTGTAAATATATATATAGCAAACTCATATTTTTTTTTGTCCAATGGTCACTTGCATTATATTTGTAATACTGGTAAATGTGGGCAAGTGAAATTTCCTGCCAGCTCAAAGTTTATTTGAGTATCTGCATAAGTAATATGGAGAGTTTCTGGAAAAATTATTCAACATGTTTCAGTATGAAAAATTTTCTACTGTGTGAATCTTAAAAATCTTATTTTGAAATGGCAAGCCTATATCCCTCGTCAAAGTAAATTGATCCCTAACAATACAGCTTGTCAAAAGCAACCTGTGCAAAGTGAGTAAAGAAAATATTATTATAGGGGCTGGCCCCGTGGCCGAGTGGTTAAGTTTGCACGCTCTGCTGCAGGCGGCCCAGTGTTTCGTTGGTTCGAATCCTGGGCGCGGACATGGCACTGCTCGTCAGACCACGCTGAGGCAGCGTCCCACATGCCACAACTAGAAGAACCCACAACGAAGAATATACAACTATGTACCGGGGGGCTTTGGGGAGAAAAAGGAAAAAATAAAATCTTTAAAAAAAAAAAAAAAGAAAATATTATTATAAAGCCACCTTAACTATAGATTAAAAGAGATTTAAAAGGCATGTCAACTAATGTGTGGACCTTATTTGCGTCCTGAGTCAAACAAACTATAAAAAGTGGTGTCTATGAGAGAATTAGAAATTTGAACGTTGACTGGGTATTTTATGTCATTTAAAAACTATTGTTGATTTTTTAGGTGTGACAATGGTATTATGCTTATGTTTTAAAAAAAAGAGTCCTTATCTTAGAGAGAGGTCCACTGTGATATTTAAAGATAGAGTGGTAGATGTCTGACATATTATTCAAAATAATATGGGAAGGGGAGAAAGAAATGGGATGGGGATGTAGATGAAACAAGATGGATCGTAAATCGACTCTTGTTGAAGCTGGATGTGTTCATGGGGGTTTAAAACACTGTGTTGTCTACTTTTGTATGTGTTTATAATTCTCCATAATGCAAAGAGAAAAGAAAAAGAAATCCAGGTTGAGATTAATAAAAAAAAAAGGCACT